CTCACCGGAAGCACGTTTTCATCAAAAAAAGATGGCGGCGCCCAGCTGATGCCGGTACCGGGCCGCGGCGTCGAAAAGGTTGGGGACCCCTGAACTAGGCCATGTCCACCATGGCCACGCCCACACAGTAACAGGGCAGAGAACCCTTTGCTGAACTTCTGAAGCCCAACCCTGGTCAACGAAGATACTCACGGGTACAGCCGCTCTTTCTGTCCGTGATGATGCCGCGGAAGTTCCAGAAACCGGGTTCGCAGCGGTCGCACTTCAGCCCCCCGACGCCGGGTTTGCAGGAGCACTGGCCTATGCTGGGATCACAGCTCCCTCCGTAGGAGCCGTAGGGGTTACAGTGGCAAGTGCCTAAGAGACAGGAGGCAGGGAAGGGTTAGCTCTCAAGTGTCAGCTCTGAGATTCAGCTGCCACGAATGGAAAGTGGGGGTGGAGGAGTTGGAAAGCTCCGTATGTCGCATTAAAAAAATTCCAGCTGCAGTTAATTGGTTCTCGTGACTAATGAAGCGTAGAAGTGGGAGGAGAGAAGGTGGGTTTTGTGAAAGGTGCTGAAAATGACTTTCACTTTTGGAAATTGCCATAGACATACCGGAGCTGTTCCTAATAAATCAGTTGGAGATTATACTTCTCTCAGAGCGATTGGTTACCATGGACAATTTCTGGATGCCTAACATCAAGTTGCTTCGGCAGGAGAGCCCGCAGCCCCCCGGGACAGGTTTCCCAATACCACCCCAATTGATAGCATCCCAACTGAGGCGAAGAAGCTTCTTCAAAAGAGAGCTACATAAAATGGAGAATTCTAGGGCTGGAAGGGACCTCGAAGGTCTTCTAGTCTGACCCAAAGGTACTTTTTTTCCAGCGGTAACTGGACTTTATTTTTCCTTGAAGATGTTTCGCTTCTCATCCAAGAAGCTTCTTCGGTTCTGGCTGAATGGTGGGGAAGGGAATGATTTATCTTCCTTGAACTCCTTCTGAGCTGTTGAGGCCACTTGGAGGGTTTATCTGTGACCCTCAGGGTCACTTGGATAGTGCAAATGGGTGTGGAACCTCCTTGGAACTGCTGAAAGGGCCGTTATGTAAACAGGAGACAGGTAGTGTGAGAGAGGGCTGTTCGATTTTAATGCAGATGACCTCTTTTGACCATGACCTGGATAACTGAGAATATCCATAGATATTCTTCTAGTAGTCTAACCCCCCTGTTCATGGCAGACCATAAACCATCCCAGTCAAACAGTTGTCTATTTTTGAAAACTTCCAAAGATGGAGCACCCACAAGCTATTCCACTGATTAGCTGGCCCTCTGGCCCGGTGATTGTTAACTCGGCCTGTCAATAGCATAGCTCAGATTGCTAGTCCTCATTATTTTGTGGTAGAAGAGATGCTTAAGGTTCTGTTGGGGGATGCAATTGGTTCCAACGCAGCCCTAATGGGAATTTCCCAGAATAAACCTCTGGGAAGGAAAGGGGGGAGTCTGTGGTGAACCCCCCCCCCCCCCACCGTCAAGCACACAGTCAAAATTTAGGGATTTCCACAGATGGGACAGTCAAGTCAGGCACCCTCCCGAATGAACGGAATAAACAAGCTGCCACGGAAGTCACAAGAAAAGAATTTCCCACACTGTGTATCAGATAATTATCATGATCAAGAGGCATTTCATGGGAAAAGTTCTCCACTCCTCTACTCGCAATTGAATCCCTTATGCCACACCAGGTTTGAAATTTTGGGCTTGGTCAATCTGGAACTGCGCCGCCTTACGCTCCCGATCTAAGCATAAGTACACAAAATTGTCTGCTGCAACGTCTTGCCTGTCAACGACCCCTTCCGCTTGAACCACAATAATACACGGGCAAACAATCGATGCAAACTCAAGATTCAAACTTGACTGCAGAAAATATGACTCCAGCAACAGAGGGGTCAATGCCTGGAACTCATTGCCTGACTCTGTTGTCACAGCCTCAAACCCACCCACCCCACAAAGTTTAACCTTAAAGTGTCTATTGTGGACCTCACCCCATTCCTAAGTGGTCCTTAAGGGAGCGTGCATAAGCGTATCAGTGTGCCTACCATCCCTGTCTTACTGTCCCCATTTATTTGTACTTATTTCCTTTGTTCCTGTTATGCCTGCTTATTATTCCTGCCCTTGTTATCTTGTACATGTTTGACAAACAAACAAACAAATGAATGAAAGTATTGCCCCAGGCCTGGTTGGGAAGGAGGGTGGGGACTTCAGGCTGAGCTAGATGCTTCCCCCTCCAAGCTCTTCTCCCCCGCCCCCCCGAGTGCTCCTAGGCAGACGTGATATTTTAATTTCCAGCTGCGCGACTTCACCGCATCAATTATCGAGGCGACCCCCTCCAGGAGGGGGGGAAAATCTGCCAATTTCTGTGGATTCTACAGCTCTCTAGGTCAAGATCTCCAGAGCCATTAAAATCGCTTTTGGAACACGGCCACCCCGCTGAACAAATGACCCGGTGAACGAAACACCTCTACCGAACCGCGAACAGGGCCGTGGCGTTCCCGGCAGCCGCTCTAATGGACGCCCCGCTAACCAGCTGGCCTTCGTGGCCTCAGCTGCTTAAAATGCCACCGACTCTTTCCTCGTCTCGTTAGGCGGACAAGATGGCTCTGGCTAATTATTCCATAAAAAATTAATAAAAGCCTGCAATGGGTGGGCTGCGGAGGGAGGCGAGGGAAAAGACGAAATAGATTGGGGTAAGGGGAGCGTGCTCTCTCTCTCTCTCTCTCCCGGGACCCCCCACCCCGAAGCGTGCCGGGGAGGGGGGACCCCTTGAAAAGCCTCGTCCCAGGCCCCCGAAGAGTGGCATCGACTTACTGGGGCATCCAGCCGACCCCACTCCAAGGGCTAAAGTCATGTTGTCTGGACAGCAGCCGTAAACGGTTTTGCTACAGTGAAGGAGTTCTGGCGAAGAGGACGGAAGCGTTGGGACCCCTGGAAGGAAAATTTTTAAAAAATCTCTTTTTTAATGACGAGGCCACCAGCAAGTAAGCTATACAGTTGTTTCGCGACCCCATGGATCATGCCAGCCCCCACCCCCTGTCTTCTACCACCTCCCTGAGACCAGTGGTGGGATTAAACATTTTTTTTACAACCGGTTCTGTGAGCGTGGCTTGGCTTGGTGGGCACGTCAGGGGAAGGATATACTGCAAAATCCCCCTTCCCTCCCCACCCCACTAACCTGCTTTCCAGCTCCATTCTGCTGTGCAGGGCAACCCAAGGAGACCCAGCCGATCATCTGGGACTCAATGGGAGGCAGAGAAGAGGTGGGGTTGGCGGGGCCAGTCAGAGGTGGGATTGGCCAGTTCTCCAAACTACTCAAAATTTCCGCTACCGGTTCTCCAGAACTGGCTGAATACCACCTCTGCCTGAGACTGCCCAATCTCATACCCACTGGGCCAACGACACCATCGAACCATCCCCGTCCTCTGCCATTCCCTTCTCCTTCTGCCTTCCACCTTTCCCAACATCTCCAAGGAGCCTTCGCTTCTCCTTAGGTGGCCTAAGTGTTTGAGCTTCAGCATCTGTCCTTCCAAAGAACAGAGTCGATTTACTTCCTTCGGGCCAAGAAGAAAACCCCGCCGGGCTGGTAGTTTCTGGTTGTTCGATGTCCGGAAGACCTCTCCAAAATCTTTTACTTCCCACCAGCCTGAAATTACCTTGGCAGGGTCCCTGGCTTGCCACGTAAATGTCCTGGCGTTTCTCGCAGCGGGATTTTTTCAGCTCACACTCATTAGCGTAGGCCACCCCGTCCGATCCACACACCTACGTCGGGGGGGGGGGGGGGGGGGAGGGGGGGCTTGTTTTAGAAAGAAAAGGAATGTCAGGGCCGCCTCATCTTGGACCCCCCCCTCCTCCCGAGTTGAAACCATCCTGGGCTCCATTTGTTGTGAAAGGAATCGCTTTGTCAGAAGGAAATTAAAGCCAGAACTAAAGGTTTGTGCCTGAAGTTTCCCCAGTTAACGTTCGCTTTCTTCTTCCTCTCCCATTATCTCCCTGTGTTGTTTGTCGTTTAATGATCCCCCGTAATCCCTTGTGGGGAGAGTCGGGGCCACTGAATGGAGCGGAATGTTTACTGGCCAGTTGCCTTTCCTGTCGCCAATGCGGAGGTTTTATTCAGTAGATATATTCTCATTGTGCCCAGAGAGAGAAATATCAGCCTCTGGACTGTGAGGCGAGAGCGCCACCTCTAGGCCACCGACCCTCCCGTTATCTCCCTATTGTCCTGTCTCATTCGAAAGAACTGTTTTTGGTAACACTGCGTGCATCGGCGGGCTAGACAGTGAGGCGTTGCATTTCCCTCTCTGGCCTTGGGATGACCAGCTGATGTCTTTTGGGAAGGGTCTACGACAATTCACCACGGAACAATTCTCCCACGGCGAGAGAACTCGCCGTGGGGCAAGAGTTACACTAATATCGAAGACACAGCGGAGTGGAATCATTAAAGGAAGGATGCCAAAGGAGAGAAGGCATGAAATGCGAATGGCAAAGATTAATATCATGAAATGGAGTTGTTAAAATTGTCCTGCGGCGAGCTGTGCCATTCCGCTCGGTGAATGGTTTCAGTTCCCCTGTTCTCACCCAAAATAGTCTATGGCAGGCGGGCATCTAGCAAAGCAAGCCCGAATCTGAGAGACAGCCTTGGATGGTCAGTGCCTCCTTTGGGAGCAGGCCTACTCATGGGTAAGAGCCTCGGTGTAAAGCCCAGCTGATTCCCAGCCGTGGGTGTATCACTTGTGCGGTTCTACCCCAAGGGAGTATCCGAACGGCACCATTTTAGGTACTCAAAAGGCTGGCAGCCATCCAGGGCTCTTTCAGGGAAGAAAAAAAAAATATTCTTACAGATTTGAGGTTCGGATTTAGGTTCAGCCTGGCAAGTTAAACAAGCAGGTTGGACAGAATCCTAGAGAATTCTGCCTGTGATCTTGTTGGCATCACAGAGGGAGAAAAATAAAAAAATAAAAATCAAAGGAAGCCTTCGTTCCCATCTCCCTGGTACGGAGAACACATCTGCCGGCATCCAGGATGTCATACATGCACGGAGTTCCTGCGCTTTCCACTTTCCCGTCCACAAAATATGCAAATGCATGCCAGGGAAATTAATGAGAAACAGCAAAAAAAAAAAAAAAAAAGCCACAACCCAGAGGGCAGAGAAGCATTAAAAGACACAACGGAGGATTTAACTCAGCCCTCCAAAATGACGCTTTGCAAAAAGCCTGCCACAGAATATCCAGGTGTTCTGGAAAGCATCAAAACCAGGGGCATTCAACTTGGGCAACTTAAAAAAAATAAACTTGTGGGCTTCAACTCCCAGCTGTGCTGGCTGGGGAATTCTGGGAGTTGGAAGTCCATGGTCTTAAAAGTGGCCAAGTTGGACACCTCTGATCTAGACCAACCTTTTGCTTATGCAGGAGCTCCTGGGGAAATCTCCTCTTACCAAGTTCTGTGGTACAGTCCCACAGGTATAGTCGCACACACAACGGTCATCCTCCATATCCTCGTCCCACGAACCCCCGTACTTCCGGCAGCTGTCTCTCTCGCACTCGATGGCATCTCCGGAGCCAGACCCATCGCCCGAGCCGCACTCTGCACAAAAGAAGAACATCAGGGTTGTGTATCCCCTTACACCGTCATGATGTCAGGATTCCGGCATTTAACTACATTTAAATCACGAGTCTCGAGCCAAACTTCCAAAACTTCCAAAGGATTTACATGTCTGGCACTGCCTGGGTGTAGCCAACTCTGAGACACATCATTCGTTGTCACCCTTGACCCTGCTTTTCCCCCCCCCCCATCCCCTGGGTGTGTCATAAATCATATTCTCCAATGGGACACATCCATAGCCAAGAGTCATCCATCAGGCTCTCCAGTTAGCTTTTAGCCCGGCAGAAACTTCGGTCACCTAGTTACTATCTTTGAAAACATTTATGGAATGCACTTTTGGTTTGCAAGCTGCTGCACTGCTCCCCTCTCTCTTTCTGTTGGCAACTCTAAAAGGACCAGAGAAATATTTTATGAGTTGACATATGAGATAGTCCGCCCCTTGCTGGAAACCAAGCCAGGTTTCTAGACATGATGATGAACAAGGGGGGGGGGGGGGGCGCTCTCTGATTTGGGTTCAATTCCTGGCTGCTGCCCAGATGCATCTCAATAGATGCCCCACAGAAACCATAAAAATGGCTTGAATGAACTTTCAGGCCAAACATGTACAGGATCCTGAGGACAGAGATAAGGCCTTCTGTGAAGAAAATGCCCCTTTTTTCCTCTTTCTATCTCCATTTGATCTCTCATGGGTGGCTTTCTTGGTAACAGCGTGGAAGGGAACACTGCCTTTTTCTGGTCTGACTTCTCAGTCTAAGCAAGATTTCGGGTGTTTTATGGTGGTTTTTCTCAT